CAATCGATGGCGCCGTGCCATTTATAGTCAAAAACACAAAGGGACGGCGTCCCGGGAGGAAGCGGGAGGCGGCCAGAGGAACAGGGAGCAGCATGGGGGCTGTGGCCGTCCTGAGCCCCCACGGTGCCATCACCTGCCCTGCTGCCCCCCAAGGTGCAGCACCCACCCGGATCACTGAGGGCTCCTGGGGGGGATCAAGGCAGGATTTGATTTCTCCAGCTCACATTGCTTTAATTGGGTTACTACAAACGGGCTCCTTTAAGATTAATTAAGGCATTTGCGGCCCCGTAATCTGGTGAAAGCCAGATTACAGCCCGCGAGGCCATAGGGATCCTTGGCTCTGACGGCAGCACAGCCGCTCACCAGCTCCTGGGAAACCCTGCAGTGTGCCGGGGCAAGGCGGGAGCCAGGGGTGCCCCAGGACCTGCCTTGGGCGTGAGGGCACAGGGCCAGCACGCTGCTGCTACTGCTGCTGCGGAGCAGCTCAAAACAGCCGGAAACACACACGGCCCGAGGCTGACAAAAAAACAGGAAACACCGCGGCAGGGCCTGCGCAGCACCAGCGGCTTTCGGACCTTGCGTCAAGCCCCGGGGTGCTGGTGAGCACCGCCCTGGCACCCCGAGGGGCTGTGGAGGAGGAACCCACAGCTGCTGCAGAGGGCTGGGGTGCAGGTGGTGCTCCTTGTCCCCAGGGTACCCTGTGTCTGTGGCACCATCGGCACAGCACCATCCCCATGGGATGGGCAGGGCACTGACCGTCACACCAGCATGGGTAGTGGGGCTGGAAAAAGGCTGGAGTATGGGTGGTGGGACTGGAAAAAGGCTGCGGCAACAGCTTGAGGGGACTCGTAATTAATGGTTGTCCAACCCCCACCATGTGCCAAATGCTCCATAACTGCACTGACAGCAACACGCGATTTGCAGACACTGTGCAGATACACCTGCTCCAGCTGTGCGTGCGAGCTGCCAGGCACCTGCTGGGTCTGCCATGCCCCCAAACCAACACTCACTGCCGGGGAAATGCTGGCGCAGGCTGGGGAGCGATGGGGCTGAGCAGACAGGGGCTAGGCAGGGCAGGAATGTGCTGGTCAGGAGGAAGTGAAAGCTGCAGGCGCTGGGGTAAAGCACTGGCGGGAGCTTCTCCAGAGTCAGTGCTTGCCAGGAGCTTTCCTGCAACCTCATCCCCACAGTGACCTCAGTACAGAAGAGGGACCCACCAGTGCCATGTAGGATACAGTTGTGGGGACCACTCACCCTGGAATGCCAGTGAGTCCCAACGGTCCTCAATCCCCAGTGGGGACAGCCTTGGCAGGGTGTTCCCGGCACACCATGAGCTCCCCTCACACTGCTTTACCACGAGGGGTCAGGGTGGAAAGGGCAGGAGGACACCATGCAAGCTGAACACAGCCTCATCCGTGTCACCCTCCCTAGTAATGGTACATTAGGCAGATTAACTTATTTATTAATCTCTTCAAGGATAAACCCAGACAGATGTAGCAATTTATCTACCTAAATACCAGTTTTCTGGATAATATGCCAGTGCACTGCTAAGCCCTTCTGTATTAAAACAGTTAAAATGAAAAAGAAAAGCCTCTTGAGCATCCTATTCACCCTGTTCAGACCTAAGTGACCCTGCTTTCCTTGGGGCTTTTTCTTGCCTTCATGGCCCATGAAGGGCAATGAGGATGGGCAAGACCCCAGCTGTGTTCATAGGGGAGGAGCCAGTGAAGAGCACACCCCGGGGAAGGGCAGTGGGCACAGAGCAGTAGCAGGGGGGGGATGCTTCAGTGCCCCACCTCCTGGGGCACACAGCACCCCGACAGAGGAGGAAACAGCTTTCGAACACATCCGCCTTCCCAGTTCTGCTCCGGCTCAGCCCCAGTGCTGGGTGGGAAGTGGCAGCACCAGCCCCCAAGTCTGGCGATGAGAAACAGCAGTTCCCAGGGGGATTTTCTGCAGCTCAATAAAAGCGCTGCAGCCCACAGGGCTCAGATCAGCTGAGCTGGGGGAGAGGAGAGGAGGTACTCACTAGGCAGCAGAATCATTCAGCTGGTACTCTCGAGAGCGGTTGAAACAAGCCTGGACCCCATTGTCAGCCCACAGCCTCCGGATGACGTTGGCCAGGTCCTCCGGCATGATGCCCTGCTCTTCAGCAGTGCACGAGAGCGCGAACAGCTGCCGAGCATCATCCTGCGGGGAAAAAAATAGGGCTTGAGCATTGGCATGGGGTTATCAAAGTTCACTCTGCCCCAGAGTAACTGACGAGATCCCACAAGGACAGCAAGGTGGGAGCTCCAGTGGTGGATGGGGATGAGACCCAAGGGAAGCAGTGGGACACTCACCCTTGCACCCATCAGGGGCCATGCCAGGCAGCCACCCATGGATTATGGTTTGGGTCCCCCATCCTCACTGCCAGGGACAGGAGGTCACAGGCACCCAGGGAATAGCAGGGCTTGGGCAGGGCCACCCTTAACCCTGGTCCAGCACTGGGCGCATGTGCTTTTGCTCCCAAGAAACCCCATCCCTGCCAGGCATGGTGGGAACATGAGGACACCCACCGCTCTGGAGGAGTCTCCAAAGTCGATCTGCAGGTTCCCCATTGCCTTGATGATGGCCATGATGGACTGGATGGTGTTGCTGTAGACCACGGCTTTGTACTGCCGGCACTCTTCCTCTGAGTAGCCATCCTCGTGGATGATCCTGAGGCAGGGGAGAGGCACAGGCAAGGTCACTCCTCTGCAGGGCACCCTGGGGTGTTGCTCCCCACACATGTTCTGTGGTAACACCAATAGGGAGCTTTCCCTGACCACCACCAGTTTCAGAACCCATGGCTGAGGTCTGTGTGGTGTCAGCCACACTAACAGTGTAGGGACCACTCACTTCATTTGTTTGACGATGGTGCTCTTCCCAGACTCGCCAGCACCTGTGGAGAAACAAGAAGAGGGATGAGCAGTGAGGTCCTGCCCAAGGCTGGGGACCCCCACCCTACTGGGACCCCTTCCCCAGCCCAAGGGGGGAACGCAGCGGGTGCCACAGCCATCAGAGAAGAGCTCCCAGCACTAGCCAGAGCAGATGCTTGGATGGGCACTGGGAATGTCAGGGCCAGGAAAGACGGAGGAAAAGAGGAGCCTGGGGGTGAGAGGCCTCGCAATAGTTCCCAAGAGGAGAAATTACACCTGCTCTGAGCCAGGAAAATGGCATTAGCACACTAACATTTGCCCCATAGTCCCAGCACACCACAGCTCTGGCTGAGCTTGGGGACTCCCTGTGATATGGGACTGAGCATTGTCCATCACCTGCCACCCCAGCTCCAGGCAGAACCTGAGTTTAGCTGCTACATCCCACATTCCCATTGTACTGGGGGACAATGGAGTGCCACCCTCACTGCATGCCCACAGCTGGAGCTGGCAGCAGCCAAGATGTGGGGATGTTCATGCCACCAGTTATGGGCAGGGAACTCGGGAAGAAGTCGTCGCCTCCTCCAGCCAGCTCAAGTGATCCCAGCGGGACCAGCCGCCCCCAGGTTGGTTCTTAAATAGCATGCACTTCCCAGC